TGATGATTTTTTTCGTTGAAAACTACTATGACACATTGCACATAATGCAAATTGTAATAAGTAATTAAACTTTGAATTATATTGAAATGATAAATTTCCAGATTTTAAAAATTCTTTTTGTTCATTTGCAAGTGTATTTTTGTAAAAACGGCAATATGCAGTTTTCACTTCATTGGTTCGATTTTTTTTGGTAGGTTTAATAGTTTTATCACATTCACAATTTTCAATGACACCGCAATACAAACATTTTTGACACCCATAACAGGTGCCAATTTGATATAACATTTTTTTTAAAAAAAGTTGTTTTGTAAGCTCACATAGCAGGTAATAAATCTCTTTGAATTTTAATATCGTATTTTCATTATAAGAACTAGGGCTAGCTTTTAACGTTAATAATAATGATATTCAATAATAGCAATAGTAATTGTTTAATTTCAAAATGCAGGGGTTATACCCTTAAAAATGCAAAATCGATTTTGCAATCGATTCCACAATCGATTTCCACATTTAGGCGTCAATCATGCAGGGACACAGAATTTTGAAAACAGCGATAATACGTAGCAGATTTGGTGATCAATTTATGTAACAAATTTTTATTAGTCTCGGAAAGTTATTTTCATAGCAAATTCCCATATTATAATTCTAATACGTATAAAATTATCTTGATACAGTATTATAATTTTAATATAAAATTATACATAATTTATAATTCTGGTATTATAATTCTAATATAAATTATGAGCATAGAAAGTATGCATTTAGTATTATCCCCTGGCCAACCCATCTATGTAACTTTTTTTTTTATATGCTTATTTCTACTAGATATATATCTATTTAATTTGTAATAGTTATATCCTGGGCAGTTGGGTATAGGCGGGGCTGAAAGTCCCGCTTATACACATAGTGCCCAGGGTATAATTGATTTATGCCCTGCGATCTTGATATAGTGGCCAGGGTATAAAGGTAATTGAGTATTATCTTATTTAATATTAAATGTCAAAAACAGTGCGTAAAATAAAAGTTTTCATTTTAAAATAAGTACATGAAAGTTATGTTACATAGATGGCAGGGGATATCCTGTGTAGTTGGATATAAGCGAAATTTTATAGTAAAGTTTAATCGGCCGCTTACGCGGTCGATTATACTCACTACAAAATTCCACTTATACCCAACTGTCTAGGATACTTACAGTATAATACGTATAACGTATACGTACATAATAGTGCAAATAATTAATAAAGTTTACAATTTTATACGAAAACCTTTTGATTTTAACCTGCAGTTTTTTCTTATTTATTTTCGATTTCTTTTTCGATTTCTTTTTACATAATTCCTTTTAATTTCTCTTTCGACTCTTAAAATCAAATTAAAAAACCAATTGTCATAAACCTACCGAAGAGATTATCAACGAAATTATTTCTGAAGAAATAATCAATTTATTGTCGGTACAATATTTTCGTTCATTGAGAATTTTAAGGAACTGTCCAGCAAAGCATTTTTGCACAGCCTATTGAGAATTTAAAATACTCACCAATCAACCTATAATATTACATAGCTAATTAAAAATATTAAAAAATAATTTCAATTTTTTAAAAAAAATTCTATAAACCATTTTGCCCAACTATTAAAAATTTCAAAAATAAAGTGCATTCTAAAAAATCTTTGCCCTTTTAAATATTTTTTCTCGGCCCATTAAGAATTTTAAAAATTTTATGCTTGCTATCAATTTATGTATTAAAACTTTAATTTTGTTCAAGTAACGATAATAATGCCAAATAGCTAAATTAACCTATTTTTTCTATATGAGTTGCCGAATAAGTAAATTTTCCTATGTAAGTTACCAAATAACTAAATAAACTTTTTCATATGTGTGCTGCTACATATCTCGAATTATTTGGCAAGCCGATCATAATCGGATGCAGGATAAAAGATTTGTTATTGACTGCTTCGCATTCAATAACTACAAATTATTTAAAAATATTCTTATACTTATTTTTAATATTTTTGTTGATCAGCGTACATGTGGATGGTTATGTTAGGTTAGGTCAAGTTTATAAAACTTAAGCCCTCGAATATTTTGCTTTTTTTTCTTTCTAGACAATCAAAATTTAACTTTATGAGTAGTATTGTCTTTTAGGCGTTTGTATTACTCACAAGATCAAGTGCCGTTACAAAATTACATCATTTTTTGGTTCCGAGAAATAAAACAAGGGACAATAAATATAATATTGTCTGAAATAGAGACAATAAACATAATTCACACTAATCAAAATTTTCTTCAAGCACTGCATAACGTTTATTACTGTGCTACGTAGTTAATGTATATATGATATGCGCTAAACTTACGTACGTAGCACTTTTTTCTTTCCAATTCAACGTACGAGAGAGTAAATAAAATTTTATCAATGAGTTCTAATTCTTATAATCAATATAAATATTCAAAATGTATTCACTGCGGCATTCCAAAAACCGGTCCAAACTGGTGCAAGAAATGTAACTCACAACACTTTAAAGAACAATTCGGAGAGTGGGCGAGCGATAATACTGACGAGCGTAATACTGACATTGATGAACTTATTAAACAGACACAACTTGAAGCAAATGATCATAATAAAGTATTAGAATGGATTTCATTTAAATCGGATATCTTATGCGTTACATTTCTTGCTGAGGGTGGCTATGGGAATGTATACAAAGCTAAATGGAAGAAAGGACCGATTGAATATTACGACGACGTTGATCGAAAATGGCACAGATCTGGCGAGATCAATATTATTCTAAAGAGTATAAAAGGTTCAAAGAATGTGACTAGGGACTTTTTTAAAGAGGTATTAATTTAATGTGCTAAATTATAAAGTCTTTATTTACGATTAATTCTTTTTCTTTGTTTTTAGATTGAAAGCCAAATGACCTCATTTAAGCAATTCAGTTATATTATTAGATGTTATGGTGTAACTAAAATTCCAGACTCTGATAATTATATGATGATTATGGATTATAAAAAAGATGGTAGTCTCCGAGAATATTTAAAAAAAAATTTTAGACTTATAAAATGGGAACAAAAACTAAATATTATATACTCAGCAGCTAAAGGCCTTTTGGATATCCATAATGCAGACTTAATGCATAAGGATTTTCATAGCGGAAATATCATCATTTCTGGTGAATATTCTTATATTTCCGACTTTGGATTATGTAAGAGCGTTAATTCTGAAGCCCGGGATAGTATTTTTGGGGTTATTTCATACATTGCGCCTGAAGTATTCTATGGAAAAGAATACACAAAAGCCGCAGATATTTACTCTTTCGGAGTAATTATGAATGAGGTTGCGTCAGAATATCCTCCATATAATATTAACTCACATGATAGAGATCTTATGATTCAAAGTTTAATTACTTATTACAATTTGCATTATGTGCAATGTGTCATAGTAGTTTTCAACGAAAAAAATCATCA